AGTTTTAGTTATTATTTTTGAATGGAAATTCAGACGAAAGTGTTGGCTTTCGTGAAATTTATATACAGTGTGACATATTATATAAAAGTGTTCCGAGAGTTTCGAGTTTCGTAAATTTGAAAGTCGTCCGTAATTTTCAACCAGTTTGCCCAGATTCTATATAAAAACCAGTTTTCATTCCATAATGTTTCTTTCTATAATACAATTTACGTGCTTCGTTACTCCAACTTCTCCTTCAGATTCATGCCACACTGTTTAAATTAAAAGATTAAACACTGGCCTCGTTATATACGTAATTGTGTTGCTGTCATCGTTACTCTATCAATAATAATCAGCTACTTCAAAAATCATTTATCATTGCACACTTTACACTTTCGCGAATCTTGCACTCGTGTTCAAACAACAATTTAAACAAGAAAGATAACAGAGTACTTGTACTTTGTTTCACGAACTTTTGCTGATTCCAACTGGCTCGTAGCTTTATATGATATGCGTTAAATTGCAAATACGTCGAACGAAGTCACGCAATTTTAGTACGTAGGATGAGTCGCGTGACTGGGACAAATTGTATTAATTAATTGATTTAGCAAAGGATCAAAAGGAGAAAAAATTGAATGAGAATTCTCAGTGTCTATTTTTCTACGAACTGATGCTTTTCTTATGTAGAACAATGTATTTCTAGTGGAATTATCACCTCATTCAATCATTTGAATGAAAAAAAAATTCACGTTGGCAATCTTGATCATTTTAATGCGCTTATTTCTTCTTTCGTGTAAATTGCTACACGTGCAACGCATGTGTATTGCCATTTCGAATAAAAAAGCCGTAAATTCTGTGCACAAATCATCTCAGTTGGAAAGTTCATTGAATAGAGTAACAGGTACACCTTTAGCAACTTCTTCACATTGCAAATTATGTAACAATAATGTATGTTTGCGAATTGAGAATCAAAGACACATACATCATCGACAAACAGGAACGATATGCTGTACATTCAATTTATTTGCAATTTAAATTAATAATGTACCGAAAGCCCATTCGAAGACCATACTTCTATGATACATATCTGTGTTATACGAATTTATAAATTACGCGACACTTTGTTCTCACAGTGTCAGAGATTTCTCTCTACAGACAGAAAACATTAAGATGACACACGCGTTAGAAGTGTAGCGTGGCCACTGAAAGACAGAGTAATATTAAACAGAAATAACTTTTACGTCACAGCACATGTCTTTCTTCTCAAATTTCTTTAATTATTCTATTTGGAAATATAATTAATCGATTTTTTCCTGCATTACGTGTGAAAAATTAAAAAAAAGGAAATAAAAAAGATTGGAAACGAACCTAAGTTTAGGTTAGGTTTAGGTTAGGTTTAGGTTAGGTTTCCAATCCTTTTTTTCAGCATTACGTGTGAAAAACTAAGAAAAAGGAAATAAAAAAGATTGAAAACGAACCTAGGTTTAGGTTAGGTTTAAGTTAGGTTTAGGTTAGGTTTAGGTTAGGTTTAAGTTAGGTTTAAGTTAGGTTTCCGATCCTTTTTTTCAGCATTACGTGTGAAAAACTAAGAAAAAGAAAATAAAAAAGATTGAAAACGAACCTAGGTTTAGGTTAGGTTTCCAATCCTTTTTTCCAGCATTACGTGTGAAAAACTAAGAAAAAGGAAATAAAAAAGATTGGAAACGAACAAGTTGTCCTTTGAGAGAGATTCATTAATAAAACGGCTTGTATGTAATAGTCTTCGTCGATAACTCTATTACGGCGAATGACATGATTGCGAAATCGAGTTGAGTATCTAT